AGGTCTAACTGTGAGCTGATAGTAGGACAGAGAGCCAGGGGAGATGACCTGGAGTCAGTTGAGAAACCTGGGTGAAAAGTTGGAAATGTTGAGGCATCAGTATAGATGAAATATTTGAAACTATTAGTAAGGTGGGGTGCACTTATCAGGGGGAATAATTTAGAAGATAAAACAAGAATAAAAAGAGAGAGGTAGGGAAACAGAATAAAGGAGGTTACAAGTTTCTGGAAGGAAGGAGTAGCTACTTTCAAATGCAGTCAAGAGTAAGTAGAAGAAACAGTAAATTTGCCCAAGAAGCCCTATAGTAAATCCTAAGACCTTAATAAATCATATTTACTTTTCTCAATAGGACTGTTCCTCAGTTGTACAAACAAAAACAATAATGTTCAGAGGCTTTGTTTCTATAGCATTCAAATCCAGAGCTTGGCTCTTGGTATTTAATTCACTGAACTATTCAAACTAAAGGGGGAAATCTACACAATGAAAACAGCAACAGGCATCAATGAGTAGTATCATCAAGTGAATAAGGCTTGAGATACAGTACATTACTTTTTCTAAAAACATGTTACACATCACACCAAAAGCCTTCATGTAATGTTTCCCTAGTTAGGACCCCAATGGTTGAGTTGACAGCATCTGTTTCTTTTCTGAATCCGCCCCTCTATGGTAGGCCATCTGACTAAACAGTAGAGTGGAAAGCCATCTAGCTATGACAGATTTTGCTGGAGAAGACAGTGGGAGATCTGGGTGAAATGAGGATCACACCAGAAAATGAGGCATATAAAACTCTAAGATGCAGTATGGTACATCCAGGCCTTAAAAAATAAATGTCTTCCTCAGTCACAGTCTGTGAGTTAAAAGAAGCCAAGTAGCTACCAAAGAAAGTGTGGACTGTCTTTCTTTTCTACACAGAAAAAAAAAAAAACAAAACATTTATCAGGAGATTAGTAAAGTGATAATGGCATTTCAATTTTTGGTGCCACTAGACAGTCAAGGACTACCTAGTTACTTTTCGAAGCCTACCACCCTTCCTATAGGGCCCACTCAGCCCAGTCACCAGATCACTCCAACTTTCACCAACATATACACTCAATCTGAAGCTCCATCAACTCAGAATCTCAACAACTCCTTGTAAGGGCATATCTGTGGAACATCAAAGGCAGAAGTGTAGCAGGGCATGGTGGCACCAGCTATAATCCCCGCTACCCGAGAGGCTGAGGCAGGAGGATTGCAAGTTTGAGGCAGCCTCAGCAACTCAGCATGGCCCTGTATCAGAATACAAAGTAAAAAGGGTTGGGGTTGTAGCTCAGTGGTAGAGTGCTTCTGGGTTCAATTCTCAGTATCCTCCCAAACAAATTTATGCAAACAAATGCATAATGATATTCACCCAGAAATAGACAGAGAAATAATAAAAATAATGCTAGTACTAATAATTTTCATCCATTGAATGTTTGCTATATTATCAAACAGTTATATTAAATGCAGATATAAATAATAGCATTCTGACTCTGAAAAATGATGGTTTTGGGACATATGGTAATAAAAAATACCTATGAGAAGTTATCAAAACAAAACTCCTATCACAATTTATAGAAAAAGTGAAGTGGTTAATTACTTAAGTCTTTGGAATAGGTCTAGACCTATGTTGCTATCGGTTTTGTTTCTTAACCTCTCCAGGCCCCAGATAAAACCTCTTCCTTATCTATTAAATGGTGATAATAATAGTACCTATGACAACATAAGCTGACGGGGAAGATAAGCTAAATAATACTTTATGTTCATTGGCACACTGCCCTGTACATAAGCATTACTCAATAAATGTCAGCTGCTATTATTAGAAACCAATTATATGATCATTCATGATTACAAGGAAGCAGATATAAGTTATCTCATAGATGAAATACAGGGTATGCTATAAAAGCTAGATAACACCTTTGACTGCAAGATAGGACTTAGAGGGATCCAAAACTAGGGCTATAAAATGGTCCCACCTCTTTGGCACTGGGAATTGAGTCCAGCATCTTAGGAATGCTAGACAAACTCTCTCCCACTGAGCTATAGCCCTGTCCTCCTCTCTCACCTCTTATATGTGGCTACTCATTACTCTATCTGTATTTCCATTCAGCTTCACAATCAAATATTCCTTAAATAGGAGCAATTATAGTGATAAAAATACAAAGACACACTCTTGGAAATGCCACTAGGAAGTTGACTAACACCAGCAGTAAGAATCCTGGGAGCCTTCCTGTCCAGTGGACCTCCCCTGTCATTTTAATGCTACTGATGACTTCCTATGATAAGACAAAGAGGCTCTGCTAGGAACATCAAAAAAGGCTTCAGTAAGAACAATGATACAAACTCCTCTTTGTTTCCTAGGTTTAACATTATGCCAAGGTGGAGAATTTATTCTTTATCCTACTTTTTCCCGAAAAAGGGTTGTTCTGGAGAAATTTTAGGCAAGGTGGCTAAGTAAATCTAAAAAGGGACATGATATATATTTGTAATAATACCCAAAGCTTGAAAAATGTACTACTACCAATGACCATGTTTTATGAACAGAATTCTTAACTACTACAGTTAGATTAGTTCACATATATACTCTTGCCATATTTAACCCAGAGGCGGGGGGACTTCTAACCCAACCAGTTGGATCAGCAACTGGATCCAAAAGTCTAAGCAACAAACCGGCTCTCAATACAAATAAGAATAGGATGCTTTCATATTCTGCCCCAGGGCAAAGGATTATCAAGCTATCAACTCTGAACTGTATGATAACCTTTAGTGCTTAAATGAGTCCTTTATGGCATTATTCATTTTAAATAGAACTTCGAAAGGATCCTCCCTCAGAAACAAATTTTAGGGCATGAATATCAGAAAATACCTTCTGAAAGAATACAGACCAACACTGCTCTCTAACAGAAATACAGTGCAAGTCATGTATGTAATTTTATATTTTCAAGCAATCACATTAAAACAGTAAAAGGTGGGCATGATGGAGCATGCCTATAGTCCCAGCTACTTGGGACACTGAGGCAAGAGGTTTGCTTGAGCTCAGGAGACCATGGCCAGTCTGGGCAACAGAGGGAGACCCTGGATCAAAAAAAAAAAAAAAAAAAAAAAAAAAACGTAAAAGAAACAAGCAATATTAATAACATAATTTATTGCCAAGCATGGTGGCATATGCCCATAATCCTAGAGGCTCCGGAAGCTGAGGCAGGAGGATCACGAGTTCAAAGCCAGCCTCAGCAACTTAGTGAAGCCCTAAGCAACTTAGTGAGACCCTGTCTCTAAGTAAAATATAAAAAGGGGCTGGGGATGGGGCTCAGTGGTTAAGCAACCCTGGGTTCAATCCTCAGTACTAAAACAAACAAACAAAAGACATAGTTTATTTAGCTTCATATATTCAAAATATTAAATTTTCCATTATTCGGTACAGCATCTACTTACAGACTAGCAACTTTTCAAGTGCTCAATAACCACACATAGCTCATAGATACTGTGCTGAAGAGTATAGATAAAGTCAATCTACACATATGAAAAACTGCCATATTGGAAGAGCCATGCCAACCTCCTCTGCCATTTCAGCCCCTCACTGTCTCTGATGGAAGTTGTGAGGAAGAAGCTGGGAGGATGTGCTTTTAACAAATCAAGTTGGAAACCCAAACCCATTTATCAATAGTAGAAACAAAAATACACACAATACTTGTGGTTTTTGGTTTTGGTTTTGGTTTTGGTTTTTTTTTTTTTTTTTTGCTTTTTGCAGGTGCTGGGGACCAAATCCAGGGCCTCTGAGTATGCTAGGCCAGTTCTCTACCACTGAGTACACCCGCTACCAGTAAGCTGTACCCCCAACCCATAAACACAATAGTTCTATGGCTAAGTGACCACTAAGGGTTAAAAAGGCTTTCCTAAGGAGGAAGTTCTGGGAAGTTAATCATCATTTCCAACCTTGTACTCAGGAGATAATGTGTTCTAAGCTCCCAGTACACGTACCAAGGATCTGCCTGGATCTCTCATTTACACTCTATTGGTCAAAGGGAACTGGCCATGTTTACAAAGTTTCAGGTTCCTTTCTTCACATCCTCTACGCCAAACAGAGGGTCCTTCAATCTGGCCTTTCCCCAGAAAGCAATTTCTCCATGAGACATGAAGCAGCTGCCTGATTTGGTCACTCTGTTGAAACTGAGAACCCTGTGTTCCAAGCATTTCAAATTAGCTTCCTGACGCAAAGGCAAACTGAAAAGGAAAACATTTGCCCTCTCCTTTTCTGCTCCCCACTGCCTGCTACCACTCCCATCCCGATGCCAAGGCCAAACACTTTCAAGCAACCATCTTATTAATGCAAAACTAGGCAACGTCAACTACATCTTCTGGGTTTCCCTCACCTTTCAATTTCCCCTCTCATCATCCCATTTCAAGGAATGCTGTATAATAATAATCAAACAAGCACAGAGACAGATAACAACCTTGCCCCATTTTTCTTCAAATCCGCTGAATAGCTCTTCATCTCAAAATAAATATACACACTCTAGCCTGTAGGCTTCAAAGTCCTTTTGCTGTCTAGCCTGAACTAGTTACAATCTTGACCAGATGAACTGAATTCTCGCAGAGGCCTGTGCATCCTCCCTCCATCCTTCCTCTCTAATTCTTTGGTTAAGAGTCCACTAGTCTTGACAGCACCCATACCCTCACCTACCTTCTCCAGTCACCTTTTCCCAACAACTATTCTCAAGACCCCTGACGAGTAGAGCCATATCTTTTACTATTCTGATCCCTTTAGGGCACATGTTTCTTGGTGTCACTTTAAGTCCTTATAACAAAGTCTGGTGCACAGGGGATGCTCAATAATCTTATGGTAAATAAATAGCTAGACTGCTGTAGCAGCAAACCACCTTCAGACTATACCTTGGAAGTCAGGCCAAGGTATTCAGACTATCCATGGAAAAAAAACATTTTAATCATATCACTGCAATATTTATATAAGCCAGACCCATATTTACCTGCAAGGGGGGAGGGAGGCATTGTAGAAGACGCAAGAGACATTTTCTGGGTTGATGGAAACGATCTCTATCTTGGCATGGGGAGGTGGTTGCATGAATGTATAAATATAAAAATGCATCAAGTCATTAGGATTCCTGTATTTTACTGTATATAAAGTATACTTTGATAAGCAAAAGAGAGAAAAAGGAGGTGTATACACTCATTTTATAAAAATATAATTCTATCATATCATAAACTGAACCCATATGAAAATGTTAACTGTAATAAACAATAAACATATTAAACTGTTAACAGTGGTCACCTTCTGGTGAATAGTTGTAGCAATGAGAGGGGAAAGGGGGTAAGTAGCTTTCACTCATACATATTGCCTCAAATTTTTTTCTCCACTTATTGAGTATCTACTAAAATCGAGGCACTCCCATAGGTATCAGAGGTACAAATATAGCAATGTTCCAATGTATGCCCTTAAAAAGATTGCATTTTTAGGCCAATATGAATTCTAACATTCACCATCTAATGCATATGCTGGGACTGGGGATGTAGCTCGGTGGTAGAATGCTTGCTTGGCATTCATGAGGACATGGGTTTGAACCTCAGCATCACACACACATAATATAACATGCTAAATGTGTATGTGTATGTGTTCAGATACACACACACAGAGATGTGGATATATAGTTAAGGTATGTGGAAAGTGTTAAGGGATCACAGAAGGAATTGTTATACTGTTTGGAGTAGGGGTGGGGAAGAGGAGCCAGGTAAGTTTTGGTAATTGTGGAATGAAGAGCTAAGATGTCAGGCTAACTAGTATGTCCCAGACAGAGAGAACAAGGTATGAAATAGCAAAAGGTACAGTAAGTTTGGAAAAGGGGGCTTAATTTCTCCTTGTGATTGGATCCTGATGCCCATTAGAAGAGAACAACGTGGAAAGAAATTGTTGGAAAGGTAACACAGGGCCAGATCGCAAAGGGCCTTGGAAGTCAGGCCAAGGTATTTGGACTTTATTCTGAAATGTAATGAGAAGCCACTGGAAGATTTTTTTTTCATAGAGGAATGATGATTTTATTGCACTTCATTGTGTTTTATTAAGTTTATCAGGCAGTGTGGTACATGCCTGTAACCCTAGTCACTCGAGAGGCTGAGGCAGGAGAACTGCCAAGGTTGAAGCCAACCTCAGCAACTTAGCAAAACCCTGTACCAAAATAAATAAACATAAAAATGGCTAGGGATGTGGCTCAGTGGTAGAGCACTCCTGGGTTCAGTCCCCAGTAGAAGAAGGAGGAGGAGGAGGAGAAGGAGGAGGAGGAGAGAAGAAGAAAGGAGGACAAGAAAGAAGGAGGAGAAGAGAAGGAGAAGGAGAAGAGCAATCTGTTGGCAATGAAGGGGGAAATTTGTTGAAAAGCAAGACTATCAATTGAGTGGCTGATGTGACAATGGTCCAGGGAAGAAATGATGAAGGTTAAAACGTGGAGCAAATAAGAGTGAATGGATACAAGAGAGGTTGAAGATACAAAATAGAGAGGCATCCATAATTTTGTCAATGTCCCCTAGTTATCTTAGAGTTTGGACCCTAGTCTGAAAATTGTACTTACTCCCTTGCCCAGAGATCTAGTCTCCTACATTAACCCTTCCCTTTTCTTTTTGATTTTTTTTTTTAATTTTTTGATGGACTTTTATTTTATTCATTTATTTATATGCAGTGCTTAAAATTAAACCCAGTGTCTTAAAACATGCTAGCAAGTACTCTACCCCTAAGCCTCAACCCAAGCCCCAACCGTTCCCTTTTCTTATCTCAAAATAACTACTGCCAAATGCCTCCAATGGCCAGTGAGGAAGGTGAAAAATAAAGCAAAATCACAAGTGAAACAATCCATCATGAAAATCATTGCACTGCCTTCCAGCATTTTGTATTAAAATCACCTTGCATTTTCTAAGATGTCACCCAAAGCACTTCCTCAGCTTCCTAGACAATGAAGGGCACCCTTCAAAGTCGTCCCTTTTCCAAATAAGGGCCATGGAATATATTCATGGGTATATGTAAAAGGTATGTCTTAGTTAAAATTCCAATAAATGTCTATAACACATGTCATTTTAAAAGCTTAAGTTAACTTCCTTAATCTGTAAGGCAAAATTCTGCTTTTTTCTGATACATGCAGACACCAGGAAGACAAGCTAGCTACAGAACGTGAAAAAAAGCAACCTTCAAGGGAAATTTCCCCCTTTTCAAATGTTTCAGGTTTTCAAATTGCTGGATTAGGATATATCTTTGAAACAGTATCTCTTCCTATTTATATATTTTTTAAAAATTCTGTACACTATTTTTATACATGTGTTTCAACTATTTCTAGAAAAATGACTCCATTTTATGTTAAAAATAATTTCCCTCAGGCTGGGGCTGTAGCTCAGTGGTAGAGTGTTTGCCTCATACATGCTAGGCACTGGGTTGATCCTCAGCACCATGTAAAAATAAATACATAAAAGATACTGTATCTATTTACAACTAAAAAAACTTTAAAAAAAAACCCTTAATAAAATAGAAATAATTTTAAGAAACTAGCTTCAAATATAAAAGTATTTTGATTACTTATGCTAATATAAATCCCAGGCTGGTGGCTTACATTCTTTCAACAAGCATTCCTCTCCTCATCACTGAATAAAAGGAACTTGTAATTCATAACAAAACATACAAGACAGCAGAACCTCAGCCAAGATGATTAAGGATTATTATGCACATACACACACATTTTTTAAAGCCACATTCTGTATTAGTCTTATAAGGTGTATTGGTAATTTCAAAGTATTAAATAGGGTTTCATCCTAGCTGTGAACACCAAAGATGCATTGTATAAATAAATGTTAACAGTTGTGATACTATTTATAAAACTTGTTTACAGAGTAACACTTAAAACAGATGTGGCACACTATGCTTACATTCCATATGCTTTTTTATATGATCCCCAAATCAAGCTTAATTCCATCCATGCAAAGCTAAGTGCAAATAAAAGGTATGACTAATTTTAAAAGAACACACAGCTATTTGCCAAGAGGTATGCAATAAAAAGTTACTATGTCTTTGGCGAAATACTATATTTACATACTCAACAGTATACATCAGGAAAAATTCCAGTCACAGTAACTTTTCACAAGATTTATTATCAGAACTTGTAAGCAGATATACTGGGAATAGTGGCATGCCTGTTAGGGAAAAATCTCCCAACCAAATGCACAACTCATGCCTGTTACAATACCAATAGAAATGGCTCCTCTAGTAGAAAATAAAATTCATTTTACAGTATTTACAGTTGGATATAACCAAAACCTGACAAAAACAGTTACAATGATTCTCTAACCTTAGAGAAATTTAAAAAACACACAGAGATTATTCTTCAAAGAATAATCTACTAATAAAACCGTAACATCACTTTGCTCAAAGGACCTCAGACTCCTAATGAAGAATGAACCTTTTTAAGTAGGAACTAAAATACCTGCTGACAATCAAAGAAAGGCCTGTTTCATAAACAGTGAGATGACGGAAATCAGATCTATGATTCCTAACTGTTAGCAAGTAAAAGACTAGAGTAAATCTTAAGAAAAAAAAATCACCAGATGTTCTAAAATATCTAACCTTCCAAGCAGACTAGATCCTAAAAGCAAAAGAACAGAATGATGGGGTAGGGGGCGGTTAGGAGTGAATGATCAAAAAGAGGCTCAGAAGAGGAAAATATTACCAAAATATGACCTATGTTTTTTGAATTTGTAGTATGAAAAACAAAATGAAAAGAACATCATGAGATCATTAACCTTTTTCTAGAACATGTAGTTATCACCTAAGAGTAAAGTTGAAGCCCTTAAAAACTGTGGAAAAGCAAAAAGACTAAGATAATCAATGATCAATAACAAAACACATAATCAAAGTAGCTTACCATATTTGACCTAATGAGGAAAAAAATCAAATGTTTTTTGCTTTTGAAAAAATAAATATAGTATATAAGGTAACAGGATAAAAAGAGCCAACAGATGAAATTTCTACTGAACTAACATCCATCTTTTTTCCCTTCTGTTCCATCTGGAGCTTCTTTAAAACCACAGTTAAGATATATAAGCACTAAAAAAATTTAAGTATTGAAAACTATGTGGCAGCTGGAGTTAAAAGAGTAGGATAAAACTTTCTTTTTCCTTTCCAAAGAAAATGATTCTATAAACATTGCCATGCAAGTTTTATAGATAATATATACGTGTGTATGTGTGTATATATATGTGTGTGTCCCCCTCTCTCTCTCTCTCTCTCTCTCTCTCTCTCTCTCTCTCTCTCTCTATATATATATATATATATATATATATGTAAGTCTTAGCATTTTTTTAAATGTAAGTAAGCTGTTCCTTTAAAGGAAAAACACAGGTACACTACTTTGTAGTTTATCCTTTTTACTTTTCCACATTGAGGAGCATGCCTTCAAACGTTCACAGTACAAATGATGTGTTCTCATCTGTATTAGTAGTCAAAAAGGTGTGGCCATTTAAACCCAGGATGTACAAATATGTGCTTTAGTAGGTGTAAAAAAAATTGTCAGAAAACTGACATTTTTCAAAAAGCTAATGGCATTTTGAAAGATATATACTTTGTAAAAAGATATATTAAAAAACTGAAAACAAAGCAATGAAACCAGAACAGTGTCAAGAGGGACCTATTAATGAAATTGTTAACGGAAGCTACAGGTTACCAAATTAGCTTCCCTTTGGTTTTGTTATGTCTGAAGGGAACTCTTTGACCAACTATTCAGTCTGGTAGATTCCAGTCATTAAAACACTTCAGTCTGCTGAAACGGATTACAACACCTGCAGACCGCACCTCTGCAGCACTATGGAGATAATTCCGAGGGGGAAAAAGTCTAGTGAAAGACGTCAAGGATTATAGTAATAACTTTAAATTGACAATATATTCAAGCATGCCTCTTACACAGGTTGATTTACCAGTTTGAGTTTTATTTTATCTGGCAACTTCAGGCGAAGAAGTTCTTTATCTCCTCACCATGAGAGCATAAATGAACTATCCCACATAGGCTAAGTCCTCCCTACTTTCCTCCGGTGGATCAGAACCCTGAAAATCTACTCATCGAATGGGGTGGGTATAACTGCTCACATTTTAGTCTTCCCTTCCTTTCTTGCTTGTCCCTGGACAAATCCCTACGTGGCTGGCAGAAACCTAATTTCTGATGCAAATAGGTAGGCCAGGTCCCTAAAAAGTTCTGCCCCTTGCGGGTTGTGCATGGGCATCTCTCCCACGTCGTTGCTTCGCTGGAATCTCAGATGAAACACTAACAGTAGCTAAGGTAACAGAATGGGGCTGAACCTGACCGAGTCCCCAGCAGAAACAGTCTCTGGGCCTGGGGGTTGGGAGTTGGCTGGGCGGACAGATTTCCGATTGGGCGGGGGTAGGTTTGAGGCTGCAGAGTGCAAAAGCAGTGTGTGGCCTTTGAAGGCCAGCGGCTGGCGCTGCCAAGCTTTGGCAGGAAGGGGAGGGGAGCGAGAGGAAGAGGAGGAGAAGGAGAAGCAGCGAAAAGTCTGAGGGGGGGAGGAAGACTGGGCAGGCCGGCGGAGGGGAGGAAGGAGGAACCTGAGGAGGAGCTGGGGCTCCAGGAAAGCCCGCGCGCCCAGCCCGCAGCACCTCCCGGTGGAGTTTCAGGCTCCGCCCGCCCGCCCGGGCCAGGGCCGCGCGTGAAGCTCTCCGAAGGGGCGGGCCCGCCTTACAGCCTCCCTCCCGGGCTCGGCCCTCCTTCCTCCTTCTTCTCCTCCCTCCCCTCCTCCTTTCCATCTCCGCAGCGCCCTCAAACTCGCTCTCTCTGCCTCATACAAAAGCAAAATGTCCGCCATCTTCCGAGGCGGCTGCCGTCGTCGCGCCAAGACCTCTGCCCTCCCGCTGTTTCTCGGGGGGGGGGGCGCAGGGGGGCTCCCCTATCCCGGATCCCGGGCGCCTTGGCTCCTCGGAAGTGGCTGACTGCACTGCTCCGCCCGCCCTCTGCGTCCCCCACCCACGCCCGCACGCCCGCACGCCCGCTGGGGACGCAGGACCGTGGCGGGAGGGGGCCGAGGCGCCGGCAGCCCCAGCCCACTTGCTGCTGCTTCTCACCCACCACTCCCTGGATGGCCCGCTTACCTTGATGCAGTATGGGGGCTCGTCGTAGGTGACCAGCATGTACCTGTCTCCGCGGCTGGCCGGGTCCCGGGCACGCAGCTGCGGAACGAGGGATGACGGAGGGGGTCGCGTAGAAAAGGAGGGGAATGACAAGAGCGTTACAGAAGCACCTAAATCCACCTCCCAATCCCTCAGGAAAGAGACCCATCACTCCCCTCCCCTCCCATTACCTTCAAAAATAACTCCACAGCGCCTTTGGCAATGTCCAAATAGGAGGTGCCCAGGTCAGTGCGCTGGTTCATGGAGGCGGACGTGTCTATGAGGAACAGCAGGATGGGCATCTTGCCCCGCACCCCTGGCTCTGCTCCCCACTCTCCTGGCCCTCTTGCCTTCACTGCCACGTACGGCCACCCGAACTCTGAACTCTGGCAGAGCCAGGGGGCAGGGAGAAAGAGGAAGAGGGGGAGACGGGACGGGACAGATGGGACAGCTCCTGGAGTCCTCTTTTAGCAGCCCCACCTCCTTTCCCTGCACGGGAATTTGAAAATGTGAGCGTGTGTAGCCCTCGGGGGCCTGCCCCCTCCCCTCTCCTCCTGCCACCACAACTGCTGCCGCTGCCGCTGCCAGGACTACTGCCTAAGCATCCGTCTGCACTGACTAGAGTGCTCGCCCCTGACTGAGAGCTCTCTCTGTTCACCGACACACAACTTCTGTCTGCTCACCTACCATCAGTACCATGTGACCACAATCCACGCCATTGGCTGCCAATTATCTTGAATTTGCATATTCATCAGATGACAGGACACAGGGAGGGACTTGGGCGAACCCAGGGTGTTGAAATTAGAACCAAGACAGGGGGTAAAGGGAAATGTAAAGGACCCTTAGTAGGTTCAGATTCTCTGTTAAAGGACTTGGAAGACTTTAGGATGATTCGTGCGGGTGGCTTGGATAGATTTTCTCTTGCTCCTCAAAGATGGTAATTCGAAAGGAATAGTGAATTGAGCAACAGTTGTACAGAAGCAGATGCTTGGACGGGCCGCACAGAGAATGCTTTACTAACTGCAATCGATCAATCCTGCCAGTGGCTAAAACCAAAACATTTCAGAAGCGGCAAAGTTTCCTGGTCAGAATTACTCGCATTCCTTTGGATTCAGCACTAGCTTGATCGGTATTTGTGCATTATTTGCTGACCTTGTATTCCATATATATCTAGTTAGAAAGGAAACTAAATCTTTAACAGATACGGAAACTGGCGTTTTGTATACACAGACTTCTTCAGTTTTATTCAGCTCTTTGAAGCATTGGCAAGCCTGTGATAATTCCACCACTGTGTGTCTGCACAGCCTTTACACATGGGAGGTTTGCCAACCTAAATTCAGCTTCAATTCACAATTGAGCACCCATGAAGTGCCAGGCACCCATGGTAGACTTATTTAATCTTTGAAATAATTATGGTAGATGACATCATACTCAATTTTCAGAATAGGAAATTGCAGCTCCAGAGATTAGGGTAACAATGGGGATGCAGTCAGGTCTGTCTCTGTGGAAGGGGTCAGTAAGTAAGTGGTCAGCTAGACATGGTGGTGATCATGTGACACAATTTTTAAATACAGAGTATTTCTAGCAACATGCTATGCACACATGATGTAGAATCCTGAGCCTCAATGAGTTCGTACTTTTGGTGAGTAGAGATGATCTCTCTCACACACACATGTATAATCTTTTAAATGTTCTATGTAGACATCCTATGCATTTATTCTATGTGTTATATATATTCCATATACATATTCAATAGTATTTTCAGGGAAATAAGATTTCAAAAGAGGTCATGTGGCAGTGTATGAATCAGGGACAAACAGTGATGCAAATAAAAAGTGCAATGGAAGCAATGGTCCAGTGTTCTAGAAGTTCAGAAAGTTTCAAGGTCAAGGCACAAAGAGGGAACGGAGGGACTCTAGGTTGGAAGGAATGGTATGAACGAAAATTCAGTCAGAGACTGTACTATGCATGGTGTATTTCAGGCCAGTGTGGTGGAATGTTAGAGAAACTGATGGAGAAATAAAGATGAAAAAGATACAATATTTGTATCCTGCTGATACAAATATTATGGAGGACAATAGCTTTATGGACTAGGGTACTAAAAGCATGGGAATGATGGGGGCCTGTGTATTAGTTTTGTATTTCTTTGTAACAAGTTAGCACAAATTCAGCAGCTTAAAATGGCACATGCATCTATTACCTATCTCATGGTTTCAAGAAGTCAGGGGTCTGGGTTTAGCTGGCTGATTCTCAGTCTCACAAGGCTATAGTGAAGGCCTGGTCAGGCCATTTTCTTCTGGAGGCTCAACTGGAAAAAGAATCATTTTCTGAGCTCATGCAGACTCTTGGCAGAACTCATTTCCTTGAGGCTGTATGTATGCAAGCTAGATGCCTCCGTCAGGCCCACCTACTATTGCAGTTCCCAGCCATAGGGGCATGGCCTCTTCTTCAGGGCCAGCAGGGAAATCTGTCACTCAGATCTGCTAATGTGGAACCTCATATAACATAATCATTACCTTTGTCATGTTCTATTCACTAGAAGAAAGCCACAGGTCCTGCAGGAGATTACATTGGATGTAATAATACTAGTAGATGTAGATAATGGGAACCATCTAAGAATTCAGCCTATCATTAGGTAGGGAGAAGATCATTACCTGGAAACACCTAGCTCAATTTTTGTTAAAGTCAATTCTGAGTAATAATATGACATGTTCAGCCTGCCAAAATACATGCATTGGGTTAGTTGATTGCTTAGACTATCCTTTTGTTGAAGAATTATAGAATTTCTTATTGTAAGTTTATATTTTATTGTGATTGATATATATGTAGGTATATATACATATATACCTACATATACATATATACATATATTTATATACATATATGTATATATATATGTGGGTGTATACACACACACACACATATATATATATATATATATATATATATATATATATATATATATGAAAAGGCTGCTAAGCCATGATATTCCCCAGTTCACAAGTGGCATTTTAAGATGACATTTTAAAAAAACTCCTCTACACTTTCTCTCAATTTTTTTCCAACTAGCGT